GTCTCTCATGTCTGCTTTCTCTTGATCTTGCTTCTTTAGTCACCAGTAACTGCAAAGGATAAAAATCTTGAGATTTAAGGGTATTATTCATGCATAGCCATGATCCAGTTTTGCCTCAGAGCTGAGAGTGCCAGGACTCTGCTCTCACATGGTAATGTTCAACCTCAGTCCAAAGTCTAGATTCCGATATTACACTGTAAGGTAAACTACTAAATTTTACAGCCCAATCTGATACTTTCAGTATCAGTATCTTTCAGTTTTCAGAGCCTGGTTTGTTTTGTCAAGTGACAACTGAAAGGTTGTCCATTAAAAGTAACTGAGCCCAGCAAACGTTCTGTAACTATAAATCCAGTTGAGTAATAGGTATTAATTCTCACTGCACGTCTTGATTGTAGAGCACTTTAAAGATTTTTTTTTTCATCCAAACTAAGGAGCTTTGCTTCATCTTGCCTACTTACCAGCTGGCTTTTGTTATGGAAGTTATGACAACTACGCATATATATTCTTACAGAACAAGCATATTCTTACAAGTTGGGTTCTGTTGTTTTGTTTTTCTTTTTAAGATACTTCAGTATCTCATGGACTTTTGGCATACCTGGCCTTTAGGGAACAAACTGATGCAGAATGATCATACTGTAATTCAGTTGGTGCATACTAAGGAAACTCAAGATACTTGCATACAGCAACAAAAAGTTATGTTTATAAACTACCAAAGTTTCAGGTTTAATTTTGAATACTAAAAAACAGTTACCTTGGGATCAAAACGTGTTTTTACAGCTGTTAGACAGCTTACATGTTTTGGTTCGCTGTACTTTTTCCATGCATTTAATCTTTTGTATTAAGATTAATAATACTTTTCTCTCTATTCCTACTCATTAGTAAATAGTATCTGAAGCTATCCAACAACTACCCTCCTCGCTTCCATTTCGAGATTTATTAAATGTGTCTTTTGCTTGATGCAGCTCTCTCTGAACCTCAAAAGTATCTGAAGTTCAAGTTTTTTGAAACTTAATTATCTCACAAAAAACATTTAAGATTATTAAAATCTAGGAAATTAAGACAACAGAGCAATGGCAAACATTTTCACTGGAGAATCCCGTCAAGGGTTTATTCACCAGCCAACATAACCTTAAAACTTTTATCTTAACTAAAGCAAACCAAATCCACGAATCCCAAAGCCATTCTTTCTCAAAGGAAGGGCTCAAAATCTCATGAGAAACTCATTTTGTGGGACATTTCACATTCCATCCAAGGTTGATTCCCCTATATAGTCCTGCTTCTAATATCAACCAGACGTGACAAAGAAGTCGAAGCAGAACTGTAGAAGATGAGGATATTCTGCAGTTCTGCAGTTTGAGAGGGGTTGCAGAAAAAAGCAAAGGTGCCTAAAGTTAACTAATAAATTTGGAAAGCTTCTCAGATTGTAACTACTTCAGCACTCAAATTTGATTAGCTATGAGAAAGATGGTACGTCAGTGTAAATGCAAAGTTCCCGAACCTCATCTGCCATGGTGACAAACAAGGAAACTATCAGGGACCACTGGCCACCTGTGCCAAACTATGCAAACAGTATAGATACAGAAGAAGAGAAGAACGCAGCCATGCCAAACGTCTTTTCTAGCTTTCAAGCACATCACTGATGTGGAAAAAACTAACGATCTACATTTCAATTTCCAGCAGCAGCAAGACTGAGGGGACTCTGCTGATGTTAGGCCAAAAAAGTTTGTTGCTGTAGTATATACTCACCAGCTCTCAGCTGCTGAATAAACTCAGCCCAGGTGGGGAAGTTCCAGCTGACAAAATAGTGAGAAAGTCTTTAAATTTGTCTTGCAACCTTTAACTACTCCTGAAACATTAACAGGTCTCCCCTGAAATACTCCAGCAGGCAAAATTCATGCGTGTTTTAGCAGGTGAGTCACTCCATCGTGACCAAATGCTGCTAATGCTAATAAATAAGCTCAACTCCCACACTGTTATCAAGACAACATCACCTTTGTGCTCAGTATAATATTTTAAAATATTGAGCCGGGACCTTTCTTAATACAGTTGTGAACTAGTAGAGTTCACTGTATGCCTGATAAAGAGAGCAACTACAAGAATCACTGCTGATTTCATGAGTATTTGTTCTGCGTGTAAGACTACAAGCTCTTTGTTTTTACCCAATACACCAATGTCTTCCATACTGGGCTTACTGCATAGTAGTATCTAGCTCTTAAAATACAGCACCAGTTGAGCTGTAACAAGCCCAACTACTAAAACATCCAATTTTGGACTTCGTAGGCCGTCAGGATTACAACCATTAGAAAAAGAATAAATCAACTCATAGCTTGGTAGCCTAGACATAATAGTTGGAAAATATGGCAGCAAACATAATATGCACATGCTATGGATGAAAAAGTAAGAGTAAAGATCGGTATTATCTATGCCTTTTTCTTCTATCTCAGTTTTTCTTCACTCATAAATTGCACCACATCTATGTCACTCATGTATCAGTGACCCTTACCAATCTTTGCTTCACTTCTTTTATTCCCTTTCATCACTTTCCCAACTACACTTTCTTCCTGAAAGGCTACGTTGGACCAGCTACTAGAGAGGAATGCGAGCACCATGCCTCTCCATTGAAGTATTTTATCCAAAAAGTCACTTGTGAAAAAAAGTAGACTCGCACCGTTGGATTTGTTTGAAAAGCGTTTGTTGTATTTGTATGACAAATACTGTATTCATATGTGTATAAGTGAGTATAAAATGTGTATCAATACATTTGTATTTATATGACAAGTCGTAACAATCAGAAAAAGCACTTCTGAATTCTACTAGTAGCAGGACCAGAAGAGTAATGCAAAAATAGGACCAGAAGAGTAATTGAAACATAGATAGAATAAAAACATACATTTTAAAAGGCTGCTGTCAAGTATATACTTTTTTTTTTTATACATATGTCCCAGGAGGTAGAGAATTTCTCATTCTTCTCTCTTTCTTAAAAAACGCACAGCCAAACTGCATTTGGAACCATAATAGCTCATTTAGCAAAGATATATTTTACTTAAAATATGTTTAATAAAACTTGTATCTTTAACAAAAAAGGCAAATTTCTACTGACAAACAGTGCTTACGTGATCTATCAAGCACTATTTAACGGTAAACAAGATTTGGAAAAAAACATCAGTGAATAAAGACAAATGTTTCGACAGCATCTGTTGGGAGGCAGCACAGAGTACAACATTCCTATTAATCATTCTATTTCACGTAATTTTATTACGATCTTTAAATTCTAAAAGCAAAATTATTGCCCTTGCTTTTAAGGACTATAATGTATCATGATTATATAATCTACCAAAAAAAAAAAAAAAAACTCTAATATTGAAAAACCTCAATTACTTACACTAAGCTTCCTTGTGCAAGGTTCCGCCAGACAGATGAAGACAAATTATCAACATAAACAACCTTCCTTGGAAACCACAAATAACCAGAAATTTCCTTTCAACCTAATGCTAATCATGTACAATGCTATCACTTACAGAGGAAGTTGGAGCATGTTAAATAGGAAGTCATATTCATAGAAACATGTAAGCTCTCTCTCTTTTTTTTTTTTTTTTTTTTTTTTTAATCTTAACAGTACCACCATTTCCTAAGGAAAACTACATGAGCCAAGCTTTCCATGAAATAAATACAAATGGCATCTTCTGGAGATCAGATAATGGTACTTGCAAGTAAGTACCAGCTCATATTTTATATTCAAGTGAAATTTCAAGATATAAAACTTCAGAAACACACACAACAAACCTTAACAAATACACCCAAATCACTCAGTCCTGGGAAGTCCACTGAGTGAATATTTGCCCATGCATTTAAGAGCTATGACAAAGCTGAATTAGTCAAAAACAGATAAGACAAAGGTTTTAAAGTGGATTTTGAGGCTAAGACAATTATATTTTCTGATCTGAATCTCCAAAACCACGTGGTTGAAAAAAGTTCACTTATTTGCACAGTAAGTCTTTCAAGAGAAAGTTCTGACAACAAAAACAGAGTTCATGAAACAACTCCTCCAAAGCTGTATCAGTACCACCCACCATACAACCCTGTTCCACTTGTTTGTTTTTAAAACTTTGACAAAGAGCCTATTTTTAAAGAGTCAATTGATTCTAAAATTAATCTTCATCATCACAATGTGTTTTGCATTTCCACACGAAGAAAAAATTCACTGCACTGCCCAAACGGTCTGTTTGATTGCATAGGGAGGTATTAAAACAATTATAAGAATTCCATACAAGTTTAGCAACTTTTCAGCCACCCTGTAGTAACTTTACAATTTTGCTAGCCAAATCATAAATCTTACTAACCATCCTTCCATAAATAAACTCAAGCATTAAAAAAAAATGTTTTACCATATAGCATGTGTCTCAAAAAGGGCAGACTGGATCATGAGTTAAACCTTGACAGGTTCCAGAAAGCTGTTTCAAATAGCTTTTAACTACTGCTTTAAAAAGCAGATGATTCTCTTCTCGATCTTAACTGTGCAGCCACCTGCTCATCTTTATTTCTATATACTTTGGTTTTTTTTAAATCACGTGGTCATTGTACAAATAAAAACAAACAACCCTCCCTGATCCTCACGTGATCCTGAGATAGTGTTTTTTTTAAAACCATGCGTGCATGTGCAATCTCTCTTTCTGGACATCTGGACTTTGTGTAGCGGATATAAAAAGTTGCCACTTTTTCATCATTTATCTAACTCTTCATAGAGAGTTAAAAATGTTTCACTTTGAAATCAACAATGCATGAGAACCAAATAAAAAATCTGCAATTTCTTTTCCCTCTGATATTTATTTGCTATTGAATTACTCCTATAAAAGCAAAGACAACACATCATCACTAGGAATCCTTACCAGCAGCTCTGTTTTAATCTCCAAAATTAAACATCTTATCACAGTCAAAACGTGTAAAATCTGTATAATGCAATAAGGAACAAACAATATAAATGTAAGTCAGATTATACTTACAATCTGGTTAACTTCTGTGTGTTCTGAAAAAGCAGCTCTGGAAGAACTTGCAATTTATTCCTGTTCAGACGCCTAAACAAAAACAGAAGTAGAATAAGAAAAACATTAGATTATCTTCCAACTTAAGAAGCTTATTCTATTATGTGTAAACACATATAGCTCATATTAATACACGGTATTAAAACCAACGCTATGAACTCAGCATAGAACGCACTGCGTACGCTACTCACGCCCAGGCCAAGGAGACCATGCCATCTGTAGACCACCTGCCTACATTCTTGAGCTAGAAAGTCAAGTGACAGTCACTAGAAAGTTTAAACGTTTTAATATGGATTAGTATGATTTTTTTTTCTTTTGGCACTCTGGAAGCCTACTAACAGTGACTCATATGGCCCCCATGTTGAGTTTTCACTGCTATGAGGAAGAGGTTTCTGGATTTTATCTGTCTTTCTAAACACACAGGCACAGTAAGATAACTACCCTGATCAATCTAGGTTATTTCCAGTTTACCTATTGTATCTACAGTATACCTAAACAAGAAATTTAAAAAAAAGTTCTTAAACATCACCTTCGGAACTGATGAACACTGCTGTAGAAAATATGAAAAATACAGATAGCCAGCAATATGGTGATTTGAACTAGCATCTTTTCTTTAAGATACTTCCAGGAACGTCTTAGAGAGAAACTTAATGTTTATACATTAGTACATTTGACTTACCTTGAAAAGTTTTATGAACACAGCTTATCATTTGCAAGAAGTCTGCCATGTTACAAGTGACACCAGTCTACTTAGCTACAAAAAGCAGAAGCTTTCTGCCCTTCGTAAAATGTGTAAGATAAAACTGGTTTTAGATTTTTGCAAGGTTATTTATAAGAAACCGTCTTTTTCCTACAACCCTCTTTCTGACAACAAAATCAGTTGCTTGCTTTCACAGCCCTAATGAATGGCATTTACATATTGAAGCGGACCTAAACTAAAGATATACAGCTTATATATAACAATATATTTATGCCTTCCTCCTTCCCCATCTACCTTAACTGTTTATTAACTTCGGTAACAAATCTATTTTTGCTGGAGTTGTGATCTCAAAAGCCACCTGCATTTTTAGAAACTTACTGACGCTTAGCACCCAATAGCTGGTTTCCAGTTTTCTCACACGTTGAGAAACTTCGCTATGAGAATTTTGAATTCACTTTGAATTGAAAGGCCTTCCTCAGAGATCAAACTAAGGCTGTAGGGATGGAAACGGAGAGTTTTCATATGGCTACCACAGGAACATGCCTTGCAAGAGAAAGAGGTGATGGCTGAGAGGGGAATCATACTTGCTTCTCCTTCTCACGTGTAGAGTAGGTGAGAAGGTGCATTGAGAAGTTGGCTTACATAGCTTAGGCATTATGGGGGCCACGTGCTAACTGAAGCCAATACAAAAATTGGTTAATTTCTCAGTGCTTTTACAGACTACCTAGCTGTATTTCCTAAACAGAGGAACAAAAGAGCAAATGAAAGGCTGAACTCTAAGAAAGGTCCATCATAAGATGGGAGATACTAAGCACTAGTTTGCCCCTTGGAAAGTACAGGGGAAGTTCTAAAGCATATTTCTCTATCCATAAAAAATTTCATGCCTTTATATTTAATTAAACTGATCTTCATTTTTTTTAGGTTAGTATTGATAGCAGAGTAATGTGCAACTTAATCCAAATCAAATTGTTATTTTCAATTAACCATGTTTATATTACAGAAAAGTGGATCTACTCATCAGGATGAAATACACTGGAAAAAAAAAAGTGATAATACAGGCCTTGGAATGTAAACGTCCCCCCAAAAAACCGCTCCGTCAATGGACTTCAAATTTAATTTGATCAACAACTGCAAGAACTACAGTAGCTTTCATCGCACTCAGTTCCATTCTCATTCATCAAGACTATCACTGGTTCTTAATTATGTATGGTAATTATGTTTCACCTATATATCTATTCAGAATGAAAAAGACTGAAGTGAAAGTTAATTCATCTATTCCACATAGCTATCTTCTTGTGTCTGATCCTGTCTCTGATCCTAACTCCAGCTCATGTTGTAGATGCAATCATCCACTGTCAATCCGAAGCCATCAGACTAACTTCTCTCAAAGCAGCGATCAAGGAATACGTTTGAAGAATATTCGTAGCTTTATTCACAAGGATACAAAAGCTGAGTTTACGCTTACTGTTTTTAGCTACAGAAACCAAGCGAAATCAGATTAAGTTTCTAAAACAGAAGGTTCAACACAGCCAGCATTTTAAAAAAAACATCGCCAAGGTCTCCTGAAAAGTGTAGGTATACAATAGATACCATTCTCAAAGTTATAAAGTATATAAACTGAGGAGTTAAACGTTTACCATCGGGACGACACAAATAACTTTTCAGACAAAAAACAAACAGACAACAAAAGCTATTTTTTCCCCCAGCTTATTATCCAAAAAATCTGGAAAATCAAATATATAAAATAATTTCCTGTAATCTGTATGGGCCAACACTGCCCCACCTACAATGGGTGAAGAAACAAAGACGGAAAACAAAGCAAGAGAGAGCTGTCCGAGGATACGTCCGAGGCTGGGCATACATGGGCAAATTGCCACAGCCACTTGGGAGACGGTTGCAGGACTGAACAGTTTACGGAGAGGCTCACACTTTTCCCATACACATAAGTCATCTTCTGTTATACCTATACGCTGTTGTCAGGGTAGTGTTTGTTCTTAACTTCTCCAGGAAGGCTCCCAGAACCACAGTGGTTTATGTCTGGCTGTGGAAAGGTATTTACTGAAACGCAAAATGGATGGTTCTGAATACCAGATGAAGAACAAACTATATTTCGTGAACAAGGAAAGACTCATCAATTTGAGAAGTTACTTACAAAATTTTAACACCATCTTTGTTCATTTAGTTCCCCAAGCACCAAATTCTCAGTTGCCCTTTTAAATTGCCCTCTTCCTCAGCATTTTAGGATTTCATGCTGACGTTACCTTAATACTGATTTTCCTTCAAACATCATATGAAGTAAAGTTCACACAAGGACACTTCCTAACGGCTCACAATATAACTCACTTTTCACTAGCAATAAACCTTTCATAATGGTCTAAATTTATTAAAAACATGTTTTTATATATACATATATATTAAAACATATAAAAATATAAAAAACACAGTATTGTTATAAAATTACATTTTACTCTTTTCACACTGCAGCACTAAGCAAGCTGAATCTACCTACAGAGACCAATCACCTAATTACATTCTTCCTTTTCCTTAACTCCTGTATAGCTTGATTTTCAAAACAACCTACAAGTACATGCCAGTGCTCATGTACGTATGTACGGTACATGACACTACCCTCACAATATTATGAGTGCACAGGATTGCTGTCACAAACACAGCTTGCAGCTAGTAATCCAAAGCTAGGTAAGCAATTCATAATTAAACAATCTGAGCTAACAACAAATATTAAAAAAAAAAAAACCACATATACACACAGCTACGGATGTATTGGCTCAAGCTTTGGAACCTCTCCAAACATCATTTTCATCACCTTCCGTGACTTGTTTCAAGTTGTAATTCCTACAGAATCTCGTTTTTCTGGTGGTCTGAGTCTCAGTGGAACTCAGGGAACGAGCAGGGCACTGGTTCTCCTGAACACCACCTACCGCCTTCAAGTAGCTCGTACTGCAGTACTTTATAAAAAGACTAGATTACCTTATGTAAATTCAGACATACTCAATATGGGACATATTTAACATATTGATATTTATTAAGTGCCAAAACACCACCAATAGCCAACTCTACGAAAAACGCCAATTACACTTCTCAAATTACTTTCTGAGAGAAACATCATTAAGAAATTTCTTGATACAGAAGTATCAAAGTAAAAGACAGACTGTTTTTAAATCCTATACAGGAGACATAAAAGCATATAAAATTATTTAACGAAAAGAACAGCCATTGGTCAGCACCGTTTCCTTCAGCGTGACAGAGAAATGCGCCAAATGTGCAGTGTAACGAATAGCTCCTGACACCCCATCTGTACGTGCACTCCACTTTATCCTCCTGTGTCAGTAAGCTCTATGGCAAATAAAGAAACATGAAGTGCAGAGTGGAACAAATATTAGAAATGCTAGCGCAGGGCAGGACGCGCCTTCTCCCTGCGACGGCCTGTCACATCTTCAGCTTTCAGAGCTGTGCTGCCAGCAGGTGCCACAGAAGCTGCTCGTGAGGAAGCCTAGCCTGAAAACCCTGGGAGAACAACTCCGAAAGGAAGGGTCAGTCGTCTCCATTTGGGATCCAGGCAGCCAGAGCTCCACATCAAGCAATCTAGCATTCACTTCCTAAGCCATTTCCTTTAGCAAACAATACAAAGCTTCACAGCTGCGCTAATATGTTACTTGAGGCTTAAGAAAGGGTAAGAACCATCTGATAAGAACTGGAAGCTGCTTTTCTATTTATTTCAGTCTTCTCACAGTTCTGAGTTTGTTTTACCGAAAACTGCACTGCTATCTCAAACAACGCTGAATATTTCACTGCCATGCTACTGCCTAAAGCTTGATCATGTCAGCTGATTAATTCTTGCTGAGTTTTATACCAGCTTAAGACATAGTGGTACTTCTTACCCTATGAAGTGATTGCAGCAGAAAGTAACACAAAACAAAGGTATCCAAAGAGGTCAGTGCTCAGCACAGAGGGCCACGTTAACCTTCCAAACCCCCGGCAGGCTTTCTTCAGTGACACTGCAGGCACCCAAATATATCATACACACAGCTTCTGCAACACGCCCTCTAGCTCCACGCTAGCCTAACCAAGTCACCACCGTGCTCGTCATTAATGCGCTGTTGGGAGACCTTATCTGGCTTGTATACTAGGACCACACGGTGAGAAAACACTGAAAAATGACGAGTCATTAGTAAAATTGCTGATTTTACTTTCCAAGAACTAGCCCAGGTATTATGGAAGTGTAACATCAACTTTTATACAGAATGTCTTAATTCAAATACAACTCTTCTAATTAGAACAGCATTTCTAATATGATAAAATACCTTGGAAAAGG